GGTGATGGTGATAATGATGGTGACGAGGATGAAGATGAAGATTCAGGAGAGTACATAATGAGGTCATGATGGCGATAGTGGCAATGTTCGTCGTGATGACCGTGCTGGCGTCCACAACATAGACGATGCTCATGGTCATGGTGCTGATGGTGATGACGATCATCGCAATGATGGTTTCACTCCTACCGTTTGCAGAAAGTGATCAAAGCTTTCCTTTACACGATAGACTCTCATGGCAGTGGCCTTAAGCTGCCGTTTGTCCTAGGCCCTTGCTGGATCTTGTGACTTTTGCGAAGATCACAGCCATGCAGAAATCCCTCAGCCCCGAAGTTCCCAAGTCCTTGTTTGGGTAACTTTAGTGACTTTGGGAAGTATAAGCGTATAACACCTTAAACCCCAAACCCTAAACCCTAAACCCGAAACCCGAAACCCTAAACCCTTAACCCCGAGGCCCTATTCCGAGTATTTTGTTTGCTCATAGCTCTTGGCATCCTGACATGTCCGGTGTCCGATAGTCCATCTCCACAGGCCTGGCAACAGGACGACGGGGGCAGAGGAGCATCGGAGTCAGCGCAGGATTGATTCGTTCTTGATTTTACGTAACAACTAAAAAGACCGTTTAGGGTACTACAAGGCGCAGTTTTCAATAGTCGAAGTCTACGTGCCTTCTTGGATTCTGAAGGGTTTAAGGCTTCGGGTTTCGGGCTTACTGCGGTAGGACGAAATTTCGTCGCACTCTGTATGTCGCTCTTGAACACGGCGCAAACCCCTTTTCTCCTTGGACTCCTCCACCCAGTCCTCCGTCTGGAACATTATAGTAGTATTTTCTACCGGTGGATTAATTCCTTCGCGAGCCAGGCCACGGAAAATGCACTTCTTAGTACTCCGCGTCCTCCGCAAGATGGTCTAGCCAAGTGCGACGAAACTTTAATCCTGGTGATGTAGGGCTTAAGCTTTAAAGTTTAGGGTTTTGCGTCTAGCCGTCCCTTGACTTAGTTTCAACTCCCTGCGCGGACAAGCGCTTCGCATGTACAGTACTTGCAACAGCAGAACGAACAGAGCCCTCGCAGATCCGGACTGAACTGTGCACGGAGGACTGCGCTGCAGTGGCGGAAGCAGCTGCGTCCGTCTTCTCTGCTTCGGCCTTGGTCTGATTCAGGGGTTGATCTAGGAGTTTCCAAAAATTAGGGTACTTTGGGGGTCCTTATAATAAGGATCCTACTATTTAGGGTACTATATATTAGGGTCCCCTATTTTCGGAAACCCCCGAGCAGATGCCCACTAGACGAACTGTAAATGTCACTTGAGTTCAGGATGACTTGGCTGCCATAAGGGAATTCAAACAAGCCACAGCAGCGGACATTTGACGAACAGACTCTGGCAAATTAAGGTGACGGCTCTCAGATCCTTGCACACCTCAGAGAGCTTGTCCGCGGCCTGGGTTCCAAAGCCACGAACACGCGTCTGAGACGGCCGAAGCATTCGGAGTATATAATAGTATGACTATACCACGGAAAATCTGAGGGATAGTTGTTGACAGTTGTTCAGGCCGCTACATTACATCATCCACAACCGCCGCAAGTGTTACCGCGACCCTGGCCGGCATGTCGTAGGTTTCCTCTTCCGCTGGCTGCGCTCTGCTTTCCGATGAGGCGGCAACATCCACCTCAAGGAGCGTTCAGGCCACAGAACTGCTTCAAAGCTTGCAATGGTTGCACCATTCCGAGATTTGGTCATGGGGGCTTCCACTTCTTGACGTACCGATCCTGCGAAGGAATCCCTTGCTTTCGGAAGCAGCGGCCGGAACTGAAAAACGTCTTGTTCCTCTCTAAGTCTCTAAGCTTTACCTTCCTTGTCGACGGTTTAGCATTGGCGATCCTGCCACGCGATGTAAGCACCGCACATCCGCAGCTGCGGCTGCCGGTGGCTCCTCTGCTTTGCGATGAAGCGGAGCGATGAAAATGAAGAGGAGAGGAGGAGGCCTCTGACGTAAGCTCTGACAAACCTGAAGTCAGAAGAGGGATTTACGAAAACCATGGACATGGACTCGATACTGGCGAGAAGTACATCAGCTCAGGTCAGACGAATGCTCCCCACCAGTTAGCTCGCATGAAAGACTGCATCCACGATCTCTCGAGAATGCAATGGCGCTCTTCGAATGTTACAACAACCGCATTTAGGCGTAGTATGGTTTGTCGGGTACTCTCGCACCTTATTACCGTTCGTCCACTGTCTGGATGCTATGTACATTTCGCTACGTGAGCCACGTACCAACATGTCTGTGCAAATAGCTTCCTTCCGCTTTTGTTTGTCGATAAAGATGGTATCTTCTAATAGCGTTTGATGTCTACAGACGCTTGTACTGCGGTGTTCTACTATCCAAGTACTGCAGTTCCATTTCATGTCTGCCCGCTGCAACGGTGTGCCCAAGCGCAACCAAATATCGAACGGCTCTTATTCGACAATGCGGTCGGCAAGAAAACACAATCCAAAGAACGGAATGAAGCCACAGTGATCCAGAACTCAGTGTATGTAAGATATGATATGAACAGACACTTGCATAGTGGCATAGCCATCCTCCGTGATCGTCCCAAGTTTTCGACAGGACAACATCGAATGAACCCCTACCCTTCACCCTAAACCTCTAAACCCTAAACCCTAAACCCTAAACCCCTAAACCCCTAAACCCTAAACCCTAAACCCTAAACCCTAAACCCTAAACCCTCCTCTGCTTCCTGGGGCTGGCCGATGTCTTGCGTTTCAGGCAGCTCCGGATCTGCCGACCTGGGCAGAAGGTGTAGGAGCCTGCGTATGCTCTCCTCTCCTCTCCTTGCGAATCTCTTTGCTTTGCTTTGCTAGGGGTTAGGGGTTAGGGCTTAGGGTTTAGGGTTTAGGGGTTAGGGTCTCTCCTTGCGAATCTCTCTCTCTCTCTCTCCTCTGTCTCGTCTGTCTCGTCTTCGTCTGCTTCTTCAATCTCCTCCTCTTCTTCTTCTTCTTCTGATCTTCTTCGTATGATCTTCTTGTCATGAGCACATATGCATGCTTGCACACGCGTCTTTAGCTAAGATATGACTTGCCTAGAGATCCCAGCCAGCAAAGCATACATGTGCACCGGCACAGACTTGCAAAAGGTGCAGAACCGGTATCCGGTATACATGCAAACATGTGTTACATACTTACGTATACATGCATACATAAAGACATACATACGTACACAAATACATACACGCATACATACATACATACATACATACATACATACATACATACATACATACATAGTACATGGTCGTGCCATCTCCTATCATGGTGGCGATAGCTACCCAAGCGGCCAGATCGCTAGGCGAAATGAGTCTTCAGAGTTCCCAAATCCGTCCTCACCCCTCGTTCAATCCGAAACCGAACCCGCCTGAGTCGGATAGTGAAGCCAAGGAGCAGAGCTGGCTGCTCGTAGTCATAGTGGTCCTCCTCTTTGGCAGCCTGGGGCGCTGAGATTTGTCAAGGTAGTACGCTTGTACGATAGCGTTCACGGCCTCGAGCCCTAAACTCCACACTGCTGGAACCCCCTTACTTCCAATCTCGGTCGACGCTGCAAGGGCCCGGTCGGAATCAAGCTGCAGTTAAACCCTGCAACGGGCCAACATGTGTTTGGAGGTTACTCAAGTGCAACGACGATTCCTGCCCCCTCTATGGCCGCGCTGAAAGAAGCCTTGACAAAGTGTCATGCAGAACCACAAAAGCACCTTCTCACAGGCGCTTGTCGTGTCCCATCTGGCTAGCAAATGACATCGACTGCGCAAGAAGCCGACAGACCTAGCGTCCTAGCACCTAAATCCCAAACTCTAACTCTAATCGAGCACGCAAGCAAAGAAATTCGCCGGCATGCCTGCTGGGCAGCCGCGGCGGGGTGCAGCTTGTAGCTCGACGCCTGGCACCCGGCCGACCAGGAACTATTCAAATCGGGGCACACCATGCGTGGAGTGTATGGGTCCTCATAAGAAGGATCCTGGGTTCTATATTATCAGTGGTCCTTTCTGGGATGAAGCTTTCATATCATGCTCATCACCATCATCGCCGCCGCCAGCAACACCAACGCCATCATTGTCATCATCATACTGTTGTTGCCATTGCAGCCGTTGCTACTACTGCTACTGTCGCTACGACCATGCTACTGGTACCACGAGTGTCAGTACTACTCGACCAATCGTTGTCTGTTAACTGCAACTCAGCTGCGTACTCAACTGAACATGCTTCCAGTGTTCTCATTCATGTATTTGGCTTCTGCACCGTTTGGTCGCAGATCTTCGTAGCTGCATAGCTGCCACAATTCCTACCAGCGTTGCTGTTGCTAAAACGGCCACCCGAAACAACTGCTTGTTATGATGGGTTGTCTCTGCTGTTGCATGCTGTCGCGATAGCAACGACCACGACCACGGCCGCAAGCAATGTCACCACCACTGCCACTACTCTGACTATTGCTGCTAGTGCGACGACGACGACTCCTACTGCTGCTGGTCAACACCTTCTTCCCTCATCATCACGAAAATTGCTGGAGCAGTCAGGGCAAACCAAGAAGTCAGCCACAACACGGAAAAGCTGAGTGCCCAAAACTGCATGTCAAATACGAGCACTGCGGGATGCCTCTCGTTACGGTCATCCGGGCGTCCCTTTTCTAAGGATTATTTGACTTCAGGACTGCACAGGCCTGCTCGATCGGGCTGGTGGCCTTCCGAGCTCTTTGGGAGTTTAGGGTTTAGGGTTTAGGGTTTAGGGTTTAGGGTTTAGGGGGGATGTCAAAGTTGGCTCAGGGCGTAGACTTGAGGCTTCGGGTTTATTGCTCTGGTGGTGCGAGCTCAGTGGAAGCCTAAGCCCATGTGGGTGTTTCTGTTTCGGGCGATGTTCGGCAGAAGAGGTATGGGCCATTTCTAGTAGGGGAAGCGACAGAGCCCAGGAGTTCGAGCTTCCATTCTTTGCTGCAAAGCTTGTGCCGAAAGACTTATGTACTTTCTGTCACGTGCAAGGCGACACCCTCGTCCTGGGCCTGGAATTTGCATGTCCCGTCTGAACCACCGCACGGATCTTCCTCACAGGCCCTAGGCCCTGGAAATCTGAGAATCTCCCACTTGAGCCTCGATGCTGGACATGTCCTTGCTCGGGCTCTCGAAGTTAGAGTCCTTCACATCACATCTTCACAAAGGGTTTTCGAGCTTTTTACTAGGACTGACCATGAGTTCGGGCACGGGAGTCCCGAAAGCTCTAGCTGATCCTACGGAAATCTGGGCCGAAGACTTGCATGAAGCTCTTAGGTAAAGCACTGGGTCCGTTCTGCTATCAAGGCTTAACGTCTGTACAGCCCGACTTTCCTTCCCAAAAGCGGCACATAGTCTAGACATGCACCAGTTCAACACATCGGCATAATGACAAGTTGCTCGGCAAGAGTCTCTCGTGCAGAACACAATACGGTCCGCTCTGCAGCTTAGCTGTGTTACTGGCATCTATGCTTCAAAGGCTGAAGTGTTTTGCCGCCCCAATCCAGCCAGACAGCTGCGATTTTGCTTCACATGGCTGGTCGTGCACAACACCACACTACATAACTGTGCAGTTTACAGCTTCTGCAAGACTCGATGGATACGCGAGCTCAGGGTGGACAAGGAGACTCCTTCCGCCTTGAAGTCATCGATGGCTTGTCTCGCAGCGGCGATACGCTCCGGCGAGCGCGCGTGCAGCGCAACGAGCATCTCATCCTCGCCCCAGGGCGCCCCTTTGGGCTTGCGAAGAACTGTCACCAGATATGACTCTGCGAAAACGGTGTTTGGCACAATGCCCAACTCCTTCATTTCAGTGTAGGCGACCAGTACTTCTTCCAGCGGAGCAGTCATATAAGATCCAACCAGACATGCAAACGTAATGACATTCGGCTGCAGGTGAAGCTCCTTGTGCAAGTTGAACAGATACTTTGCTGCATTATGGTGACTTCCTTCTGCTTCCCAGCAAGCTCGAATAGCGGCGGATAAATGGCCGACGTTTATTGCCACGCCACTCACGTTCATCTGATCCAACACCGTGGCTGCTGTTTGAACATCTCCCTCTGCAGCAGCTGCGGAAATGCGAGCTGCAGCAAGTGCTGCATCGAGTTCGCACTCTCGCATGGCATCCATCCAAATCTCACGAACAGCATCCTTCTTGCCCAACATTGCGTGAATCGTCAGAGCACTTGTAAAGGCAGGAGCAGTCCTGTTTATGTTCAGGCTGCAAAGCTTTTGGTAGATGAGAGCACCTTGCTTGTACTGGTCACACCGTATAGCTGCATGCATGGCGGCATTGAAGACTTGGATCTCAGCACCAGAGTATGCCGAATACACATGCCGAGCTTGATGCCAATCACCTCGTTCTCCTGCGTCAGAAATTTGAGACACGGCGCGGGCCCCTCTTGGGCTTATAGGTACAAACTTTGGCTTTGAAGTCAATGCCATGCCCTCGCGCTCTCGAAGTAATTTCAAGTTTTGCTGTCGCCTGATTGCCAGGCAATCCTGGCGACATGCGGCCAGCAGCACAGCCAGCACACTCAAGATCTGGGACATGCTGACTTTCATTCCGGCAGTGGCTCTGTCACGAGAAAGCAACCTGCCAAAGCTCTTCTCCAGCATTGCACCGACGCTCTGGGTTGGATACTTCTCCTAGTGAATCTGAAACACATGCGGAAACTGAGCTGCAGAATTTTGCTGTAGCCACACACATCGTGACCCGAACGCATACACCCTTTCTGTCTTCACGGGCCCAGTTTGCTGAAGTGGCAAACGGCAGCAGGATAAGCTGAGCTCAAGTCTGCAACTCTGCTTGGATGGGCGTATGTGATATGATGGTTTTCCAGCACGGAACTACTGTAACCAGCAGCCGAGAAAACGAAGGATGTGACGACTGAACGCAGAGAAGGCAATCTGCTCTCGGAATCCGTGAGGTTTCAAATTTGAAGCCTAAACACGCAACGCAAAACCTCTCACCTCCCAACCCAGAACAACCTTAGAGTACCTATAGACCTGAAAGGGAACACCTCACTCCCTCTTCGCATCATCCGGCCTGCATGACTTTGTAGTCCTCCTCGTCGGAGAGCTCCTGATCAAAGGCCTCATACTCGCAGTAATAGTGTGGCTATACGGGCTACTCCAAGGGTTGCTTTAGGGATTGCCAAATGGGCTCCATAGGGATGTAGGGTTTCATGCTACTGCGGACCTGAGGAAAAAGGGTTTGCGACTGATCGGACGGGACATTCTGCGCAGATAATATAGGGGCCTTAGAAATTAGAATAGGGTTTTGGGCACCCTTTATAGTGTAAAGAACCCCAAAATAGTATAGGTAATCACTTAAGCCCCTATATTGGAACCCGATCCTCGAACATGAATCCCATCCCACCCCTGCGACTCCAGAACCATACATCTCTGCAGCACGAAGTCCCTTGAGCCTCAGCGTCTCAACACGACATCTTCAAGCTTAGCCTAGAGCCCCGAAACTCAACCACTTCAGATCAAGATTAGCCGAATCTCGAAATTCTATAAACCTTACAACCCAAAAAAGCAAAGGTTTAGGGACCCCGGCCGGATGCGTGCTGGTTCGAATAGGGACAGTAGGTCTGCCAGAGATCGTGAAGGTCTGTAGATCGCCCCCATCCTGTCAGAAGGAGCTCTTCGGGCTAGGGCTTAGGGCGTTTAGGGTTCAGGGCTTGGGGTTTGGGGTACATAAACCCTAAACCCTAAACCCTAAACCGATTCGGGGATTTGGGTCTTGGGTTTAGGGTTGGGGCTTGAATTTTCAATCCGGGTCCGGGAATCTCCAAGGCCGAAACTCAGTTCAGCTCTTAGGTTTAGGGGCTAGGGGTTTAGGGTTTAGGGTTTAGGGGTTTAGGGGTTTAGGGTTTAGGGTTTAGGGTTTAGGGTTTAGGGTTTGTGTCTCTGATGCTGGCTTCGCTTGGGACAGGCATGCTTGGGCAGCTGAACTGAAAGACCGCTCAAAGAAACCCGTCAAACCGATCCTACAATCTTAAACAAGCTGCACGGTCCCGGTACCACTGATTACGTAAGCGATGAACACAAGACAATTCCAGTAACGCCACAAGCCATTGCAAGGCGACCCTCGCCCCCAAAGCCGCTGCAAATGGATGAGTCTGGGTGCTCGGCCTCATCGGAACGGCCTCAGCCAAGGGTCTCAGAATGTCATAGGAATATCGCAAAGCAGGTGTACTAGGTAATATAGTATACTAAGATAATACAATACATAGCAACAGGTCAACATCATATTCGGTACAAGAAGATACACTACTTGACAGTGATCTCAAGGGGGGTTGGCAGGGTTTCGCAAGGTTGGAAGGTAACATAGCGCCTTGTGCTTCGAGCGCTTGGCATACTTGTCAACAATTGGCACTTTGTTAAAGACTCCTGTTTCAGAAACCTGTGATTACAGATCCTAAATCAATGGGGCTCGTGTAACAAGACCTGAGAAGCGCCACAAAAGGATAGCTGGAACCTGGGCCGGCCAGGCAGCACAAGCGCTGGTGACAGATCCAAGCACAGAGAGGGACACGAACACGATAACAATCACAATTATAGAAATAATCTTAAGAACAACCACAGTGAGAATAATGATCAATATCATTGTAGTAGCAGTAGTAATAATAATAGTAGTAATAGTAGTAGTANNGGTAGCGGTAGTGGCAGTGGCAGTGGCAGTGGCAGTGGCAGTGGTAGTGGTAGTGGTAGTACTAGTAGTAGTAGTAGTAGTAGTCGTCGTAGTAATAATAATAGTTGTAGTTGTTGTTGTCGTTGTTGTTGTTGTACTAGTAGGAGTAGTGGTAGTAGTAGTAGTAGTAGTAGTGGTAGTAGTAGTAGTAGTAGTATAGTAGCAGTAGTAACAGCAAGAATAACAATAGTCATAAGTAGTAGTAGTAGTAGTAGTAGTAGTAGTAGTAGTAGTAGTAAGAAGAGTGATAACCGTAGTAATCGCAATAACAGAATCAATTGTAAAAATAGTAACCATATAATAACAATAACAGGCATGGTTATAGCAATGATAACAACTACTATAATCGCAGTAATAATAGTACTCTTAACAGTATCTATGATAGTAGTGATGATAGTAATAATAACTATAAAAAAACTATAACAATGATTACTTTAAAAAACATAGAAAAATAAGAATAAGGTAGTGATGCAGGATCTCGGTTCGTCCATGCTGAAATTCGGCCCTTGCCGAGGATGCGGCCAGTCTCCAGCTGGTCGAGGAAGTTCCCGGATCGAGCCTCCGTTGCCGGTGGATGCTCGTGCCGCAGCGAGTTTTGCTCTTGTTGTTATCCGGTAAGGTTTGGGATTTAGAGTTTAGTTTAGGGTTACCACCACCAACAACATCCAATGCCACTGCCATGGGCTCGACAATCTGGCAAGGGCGGGACGACTGCGGCCGTGAGGGAGGATAAGAATTGCTCGAGGGGAAAACCCCGGTCTGCAAGAGCCGATGAGTGCCGAACAGAACCTGAGCCCCTGAGGCCTTAACAAGACTCCTGCCTAGGGTCAACTCACACTCAAGCCTAAGTCATTTCATCCTGTGGATCAACTTCGAATCCAATCCACATTTTTCGGGCACCTGAATGGAGCCTACCCACTGCTATAGCGACCGCCGCTGGCTACTGTTGGCAATCAGCCGGAGCACCTAAACAGCTCGTGTGAAGCGCAGTCAAGGTCAGCTACTCTCCCGCGCCGTCTGAGGAGCCGGCAATTTGTGGGCCGGTCGCCTTCCGATCCGAAGCCCACGGTATAATAGCATAACAGTATGATAGAGCAATGATGTAACAGCATAACAGTATACGAGTATAAGTGTATAGTAGTATAACAGTATAACAGTATAACAGTATAACAGTATAACAGTATAACGGTATAGAAGTATAGTAGTATAGTAGTATAGTAGTATAATTATGCTACATAGTACGATAGTACAGTGGTATAACAGTATATCGTTCACATCGGTTCTTGTCGGAAGCCGAACATGACACTGCGTCGCTGGTCAGCCTGACTCATTGAGATGTCCGGCTTGAATGTGTGCTTCCTGGTCCGGGCGTTCGATTTCAGATTCTTCTGGAGCCAGGGTACTGAGAGACCTGCCTCGGGTTACGTAACCTTCTTCCCTAAACCCTAAAGCCTTCTTTGGACGCTAGCAGCTCCCAGAAAAAAAAAAAACTAAGCGCTAAAGCCTAAGTAGGAATCCAGGAACCTCTAAAACTACCGTTGAGGATATAAATCCTGCATTACCTTAAGGACCCTTAACTATGGGAATTGTGGTATATTCCTCATTATGGGCAATGCAGGATTTATATCATCTACAGTAGGACTTGGACTCGATTGTAAGGCTCTGAGGCCCACGGTAGCCCCAGACCCCGTGGCTCAGAAGTTCAACACTGGAGACTCTCTCTCCGTAACACAGGGGCCCCCAAAATTTGAATAGGGTTTTGGGGTATATTATACACTAACTAAGAAGAACTATTATTGTCAATATGATGATTATTATGATGACGAACCCCAAAACAGTACTGGTATTCATTTAGGCCCATATATTATAAACACGGAAGCTTCCGACTCGGCTGAGCACTTCGAGGGCCTGGAAGGGTTGTTACGGGATCGGCATGCACACCACATGGGTAGTTCTCTAAATTAGGGTCCCTTTTTTAGGTCCCCAAAATAGTACGGCACCCTTATAACAAGGACCCTAAAAGGGACCCCAATTTAGAGAACTAACCACATGCAATCTGATGCCACGAGGCAGGTTCACGAAGCTTGGCTTTGAACTCTGGCGCCTAACATGCTCAGGAACTGATCCCTACATCCTCAGTCAAGTTCCTGAATCACCCAGAAACTACATCCTAAATGTCCCATCCTAAGGATACCTAACTTCCCAAACCCAAAACTTTCAACCCCCATGCTCGACACCCGAAGCCCTTTTTCTGGTCTCCTCCAGTCCGCCATGGCATCCTGCCGATGTGCTTGCCGGGCCTCTGGTCCGGGAAACATGAGATGATACTATATAATAATAATAATCATAATAGTAATAATAATAATATAATACATGCAATCCAGTACTAAGTTAATCATACTGTACAATACGATGTTGCATTACGCTGTAATTATGCTGTATTTTACTATACTCTACTATGGTATGTTATGTTACACCATATTGCATTATTTTATTTTGTATTGTATCATATTTGATTTTATCCGTTTATCCTTGAAGGCGTTGGGCTCGGGGTTCAGGATGATAGGGTGTGGGGTGTAGGGTGTATGGTTAGGACTGTGTTTTTTGTTGCGGATCCTTTTCCCACTGCTGTTACTAGTTACTAGCCGAGAACTGCCTTCGTGTCGGCTGAGGCCTGCTGATGTGCCTATAAATGGGTAGTTGCCAAAATTAGGGTCCCTTTGTGGGCACCCTAAATATTAGGTGCCGTATTATATTACGGACCCAAAAAGGGACCATAATTTCGACAACCACCCAAATCTCTAAACCAAACCCAGAAGAACCCTCGGATGGGTTTTGGATTTAGGGAATAGGTGCAGCATGTAGGCTACAGTCAGTTCAGGATTCAAGCCCTTTATGGGACAGTTCCAAAAAAGTATAGCAGCGGTGCTGACCAGGAGAACAGCAATCGTAAAGTTGCCACTACTTCAAAAGAAGGCTACAACCTGGGTGTGTGGCACCCTGGGAGCAACCGCAATAACCACCACACCCCTGCATCTCCACCAATAGCAGCACCTACCAGCATCGAAATCTTTTGTCACAGGGACACCTGACATGGCAGTCAAAACAGCATGAGTGGGACATCTTTGGGTTGCAATGATATGCATTATCGCTGGTACTGCAAGTATGTTGGTCATGCCGGCTTCCTCGAATGATTTGTGCCCAGAACGGCTTGGGGCGACACCTTTCGATCAGCATGTTCTCGATAAAGCCGATCTGCCAATTCGAACCGGAAGTGAGCTGCATCACATAGCATGTCTGTGCACATGAAAGCACAGAAGAAACGACGGAAGCAATAGTCAGTCTTGTCAGCTTAGGCCATGGGGTTTCAGGTCTTTTGGGTCGGGCATGAGCATGGGTTGAAGCGCAAGTGTCTTGCAGTTCGAGCTTTTGAAAGGCTGCAGGCATTCAGCCTGCCCATCTGACCTAGCTACACCGGGCGCACCATGAGTTGGGCTGTTCTGCCGCCGCGAGGATCCCTCCGTGGTCAGTCGACCTCAGCCGAGAACCGAGGTGATTTAGAAACCGGTTTCAGCATGGCGGTGCTTTGGAGTCTGTGCAATTCGCAACAAACTTGGGCACTCGACCGTCGTCAAAGCCCAAGCCTGCATGGAACGCTTAAGTTCTCTCAATCCGGTCCGTGTTGACCTCTTTATCTATATATCATATCTACATCTACAGACAGAGAGGTACTTACACATCGCGTACACACACATTACATACATGCATCACAATGTACATACATGACCATACGTGCATGCGTACATAGGTACCACATCAACCTATGGCAGCATCAGTATCATGCTGACGTTTACTTACACGCATGCAAGCATGCATACATACATACATACATACAGGCAGGCAGGCAGACGGACAGACAAACATCCATCCATCCATCCATCCATCCATCCATCCATCCATCCATCCAACCATCCATCCATATATCCATCCATCCATCCATTCATGAAGGCATGCATGTATGCAGGCAGTGATTCCATTCTGCTACACACTACTGCACATCACATCACACCATGATAGATCACACCACATAGTATCACATCACATCGCACTAGACTACAATACAGGACTGTATATTATCTTACCTGGCACTGTATTTGCATTGCATACATGCATACATAACATAATTACATGCCATACCTACAACACATGCGCACATAAAACATATAGACAAAATCAGAAAGCATGCGCACAGAACGACAGACAGACATACAGACGTAGAGACATGCGAACATACAGAGATACACACTTGCGTACACCATACTTACTCATACTTACGTTTCGTATATGAATACTTCGATGCTCAGATACATAGATATACCCACCCATACGCACATACATGCATGTACAAGTATGTGTATGTATGTGCGTACCACGGACGTACATAGCTACGCAGGTGTGCATGGATGGATGGATGGATGGATGGATGGATGGATGGATGGATGGATGGATGGATGGATGGATGGATGGATGGATGGATGGATGGATGGATGGATGGATAAACGGATGGATGGACGGATGGATGGATGGATGTATGTATGTATGTACGTATGTATGTACGCATGTATACCTGCATACATGCATGTGTTATATGTTTCAGCTATGTAGTTTACTGGCTATCCATATGGCCTATAAATTGCCTTTTAAGAAGGGTCAGCAAGGAACGTGCAGCGGCCCTGCAACACAGTGTGTTCGGAAGGCCTTCCGAGCACACGGTGTCCCTTGGTGACATGCCGCCTGCCACATTTGATGTCACTCCAAGACGTTGATCATGCTCATGGCTGTCGCATGCAGATGGCTCGTATTCGTACTGCTTGAGTCTTTCTATTAGTCGCGTTGATTGCCAGTATTGATGCCACTGGAAACCTGATTGTTGCCACTAGGCGCAAGTCCAGCTACATATAAGCTCCCACCCGTTGATTCTGGCAGGAACCCGAAGCAACTTCATGGGGAAATCCGTGACACTCAAGCCCTCGTACACACGAGCCTTCACTGCGCCGACTTGTCCTGAGTCACCACACTGGCGAAGCTGTGCAAGCTCTTGAATCAGAATACATTTGTGTCCTTTTCATGAGTTGAGTCTTGTCCATCGATTCACGTTTAGGTCAGCCTGCAGCCCCCGACACCCGCCACCACGACACCCAGGACCCTGAGGGGCCGACGTGCTGTTGATGGACGCATTCGGCCGGAAGGAGGGCAGCTGGCATGGAGTGGCAGTCATGAAACATGATATTGCGAGGACACTGCAAGGAGTCGACACCTTCATCACTCCACCTTAGGTGCCTTTGCTTTGCCATTTGCCACATCAAGGTGATGATGCTTCAGAACCGCACCTGTAGCATCTGGACCCCTATGCAGCGATTCCTGGTGCATCTTGTCAACAACATGGGGAGGACGCAGATAGAGTTAGAGTCTGCCAGATAAGAAACATCAGAACCGAGAAATCCCCACATGCACACACTACAACTGGCTAGGCAGAGGAATCAATCTTTTGCCTAGCGCGCAGACCCCAAGACAAGAAGCCCCATCACTACCCACCAAAACCGCTCAAACAACCCCGCGGGGCCCTAACTCACCCTTTTAGACCCCGAAGCCTTCAAAATGCAACCCTGGATTCCAAACCGCAAGGCCAAGGATTGAATCTACACCCTAAGCCCAAAAGAAAGAGTTGCCGAGCCCACCGGGACCGACTGCTTCGCTTCCTGTCGACGGCGGCGCCTGCTACCACGGCTTCGGGGACTTCGGGGAGCTGTGGCTGGGCGGGCGGGGCGGTGAGGGTAGGCTTTGGAGTATAGTGAGGATGGGCTTATGTGATTCTTGTGCATCTTGCTCTGGTTCTCCAACGTTGTCTCTAGACATGGTCTTCTTGTTGGGGTTTGTTTTGGCATGGCCATTGCAATTACGACGAACTAGGTTCTATTGCGACAGAAAGTGTTCTGAATATTAGCGATAAGTTCGAATCCTAACGCTACGCTTGTTGCCGTCACTGTCTTTTGGCACCATCTTTCCATGGGTGTCAGCTGCCGAAGTGTCATCATCGCCAACAGGCAAAGATCGTAGAAGTCGGGCGGTAGTAGGAGTCAGAAAGGGAGCGACGGCAAAAGAAGGGGTAGATGCCGTCGTCGTGGTATAGATGCCATAGATGCCGTATAGAACACTGATAGCGCTGCTTGAACACCCGTAGTGGTACTGATACTGCTGGCCCTCATGAATAGAAGAAGCAAGTGTCATGGCAGCGCTAGTTTCATGGATGTGATATGTTGTTGCTCTCATGAGCAGTGTAGGGGCCTTAATAATCAGAATAGGGTGTTGGGGCCCATTATACTATGAATATGATAAGGAACCCCCCAAATAATACAGGTCATTATTGAGGCCCTCAATAGTATTGCTCTAGTTTTGCTTTCAGCACGGCTTTAGACCTCGGAAGGGCTCAACCAATTACTGGTGGCATGGAAGGTTGGACCCTAAGAGCTTTGGTTTTGCAGTTGGGATCTCCGGCTGGCTTTAGGGCTCACCCTCTGTTGTGTTACAGGCCTAGCTTGAGGAAGTGGCGAAGATGCGACAGCGATGATGATGATGATGATGATGATGGTGAAAGCGATGAGGCTGATGATGACGACGACGGTGAACATGCTGATGATGACTGCGACGGTGTTGAACATTATGATGACGAGGATGCTGATTTTGCAACTCCGACAAACACCTACTGCTATGACAAGGCGTCTAAGCAAGTTGTAATCTTGCCAAACTGTAAACCTAACCGAAACATTTCCCGGGCTATAACAAGGTAGCTAGAAACAAACTATCGTCTCAGTTTTACCAAGTATAAGATTCCCCTCATGAACCCGAACCGAAACCCCCAAGCCTAAACCCTCAAATCGCTGCTGCTGCCTCTCGAAACTGTCGCGGTAGAGGCGTTCGTTGACCGACTCTTGCGGTTGGAAACCGTCCGGGTACCTGACACAAGGCTCTAATGTAGGGGCCTTAATAAATAGAATAGGGTTTTGGGCTCCTTTATCGTACTCTTATAGTAAGGAACCCTACCAATCATATTGGTAACTATTTGGGCTTCTACATGTTAGCTTTAGGCCAGTAGGGTTTGGGGTTCACGACTCAGGGCTTACGCAATCGGGCATGGGATTTGGGGTCTGGAGTCTAGTCTTAGGTTCAGGCTGTATAATTATAATAAGGAACCTTTTTGGGGCCCATTCTACTATAACTATAATAAGGAACCCAAAAAATAGTATGGGTAATTATTTAGGCCCGTATCCTTCGTTTAGAGTTTGGGGTTCCTGTCCAGGTCCTCGGACCTTTCACCAACTTCCCGGTTGCCGACAGTAACTTCAAGACCATATGATTTATCTACCGCATAGTCTTTTTTAATGCAGTAGCCCTTTCTCCCGCAGAGCAGTTTAGGGTTTAGGGTTTAGGGTATAGGTCAGAAGCCAACTGCAATAAAGCACGACATGGTGACTAAAGGCGGGTACTGCGCAACCATTGACTGCTGAATCGTGAAGACTGCAGGACAAACAACAAGAAGAACAGCACTGAGAAAACGAGAAATCGTATAACCATGAAAGGTCGAACGATGCTGTCTTCCTGCGACGCAGCCCAATCCAGATGTGAGAGTTTCACAACACATGGGACCCTCAATAGAGACCTGAAAGACTAACCCCTAAACCCTAAACCCTAAATAGAACACCAAAACATCTCCGCATCTGGGCCAAGGTACTTCGCCAGAGGCAGCCGCGGCTCGAAGGTGCACCTCGACAGCAGTACATGGGTAGTTCTCTCAATTAGGGTCCCTTTTAGGGTTCTTTTAATAACAGTGCCGTACTATACTGGGGACCTAGGACCCTAATTCAGAGAACTACCGGGGTAACATGAGCCTCGAGTTTTCGAAGCGCTTCCCAGGGATTCGACATGGGCTTTCCTGTATGAGGGCCAACGAGGGTGCTTCAGAGACAACATAAAGATATATATATATATGTGTATTTATATACTTTGTTCGGAACTCTATATAAAGTTCCCCTGCCGTATCTCTGAAATTTCCATGCATCCTGCTTGCACCTGTGATAGAGCAAGAAGCATTGCAAAGTGTGAAGAGTACACCACTACATTACAGTACATCAGTACATTACATTACATGGCATTACACTACTTTACATTACATTACGTTACACTACCATACCCCTACCCTTCCATACCATACCATGCCGCACATGCGGGAACTGTGCCCCGTGTTGCACATGGTACACATGACAAATCACGCAACAAGTTTATCCCAAGCACAATGCATCATACAGAACATGTCGCATTCAATGTGCGGGATGCAACAGAAAACATGTGGTATGTCCAACTCGTGAAATATGACAGATGCATACGCAAAGGACTTGACGGTTTTGTAATTTGCAACACCACATAACCACCAACGACTTTCGACAAAATACAGTCCTGACGGCGACTGTAGCTCTGAGCCTGCAGCTCATCATAAGCACCAATATCAGCTGCCATTCGTACAGGGACCAAACTCGTTGGAGTACGAACCTAACTATTTCTCCCTCAATCATCAACCCAACTAACCCTAAACCCTAAACCCTAAACCCTAAACCCTAAACCCTAAACCCTAAACCCTAAACCCTAAACCCTAAACCCTAACTCTAAAAATACCAACTACCTTTGCTGGAGGACTTCGTTGATCGGACTCGCCAAGGCCCCGGCAGCTGCGCTTCCTTGGCCTGCTCTACCTCAGCTGCAATCAACAGCTTCTAAAGACTCTACATTTAGGGGTTTAGGGGTTTAGGGGTTTAGGGTTTAGGGTTTAGGGGTTTAGGGGTTTAGGGGTTTAGGGGTTTAGGGGTTTAGGGGTTTAGGCAGGATAGGTCCAGGGCTTGCGGGGTTTAGGGACTCTACGAGTACCAGGACTACTGCTGATCGGGAACACTGTCTGCATTCATGGTGGTTACTAGCGGTGGTGTGGTGGTAAAATGAAGTGGCATGAAGTAATGGTAGTAGTCGTAGTAGTGGTAGTGGTGGTAGAAGCAGCGGCAGCCAGTCGAAATAGTACTAGTAGTCGTCGTCGTCATAGTCCTAGTTGTAGACGTCGATGTAGTCGCAGTCGTAGTAGCCGTGGTAGTCGTCGTAGTCGTAGTAGTCGTCGTCATCGTCGTAGTAGAAGTAGCAGCGGCAGCAGTAGTAGTTGTTGCTGTTGCTGTTGCAGTTGC